CTCCGGGCCCTCGAGGTGCTCCGGGGCTCTTCGGCGCGGGCGCTGCGCTGGACAGCTTCGCTGCTGCGGCTGCCGTGGGGCGCAGCAGCAGCAGCGCCAGCAGCAGCAGCAGCAGCAGCAGCAGCGCGGGAAGAGGAAAGGAAGCAGGAAGCAGCAGAAATCGACAAACTCGAAAAAGGCTTGCATGCGCTCAGAGCTGCGCTGGCGAAAGACTCCCAAGTCCAAGTGCTGCAGTCCATGGGCACTGAGGCTTTCAAGCAGTGGCTGGAGCAGCAAACTGAAGCAGCAAGAGCAGCAGCAGAAACCATTGCTGCTGCTCTCAGCAGCTTGCCTGCTGCAGCACCAGAAGCTCTCGCCCCCAGCAAACAAGCCAAAGAAAAATATGCTGAAGCCCTTCTGGGGGCTTCTGCTGCTGCCGCTGCAGCGCTCAACGCCCTGGACAAGTAGCTGCTGCTGCTGCTGCTGCTGCTGCTGAGGTGGAAATTAGAAACAATTTAGACTTTGTTTGCATTTTAGTTTATTTTTAATTTGTAGTTCGCGCTAACCTGCGCTGCGCCTCCGCGGCGACTCCCATTTCAGGAATGCACGTTTTGCCGAACGGCATTTTCTTGACTTTTGAATCCGACTTCAATTCTTTTATTTATTCTTTTAATTTTTTATTCTTTAATTGTTTGTTATCTTCTTGCGATATCAGCTGACCGCGTGCGTTGCTGCTGCTGTTGCTGCTGCTGTTGCTGCTGCAGCTGTCGTTCGGCTGCGTTGCAGATTCCTGCGGCAGCGGAATTGTTCTTTCAACTCCAGCTCACGAATTCCGATAAGCTTGATGAGTTTCAACTAGCTCAAATAGTTTCAATTCATTTTAATTTGTGTAATTAGTTTAATTAGTTCCACTGAAGCATTTGCCTTTAGTTTTGCAAGTGGGTTAGCGCGTTTTCCAGCGCTGCAGCAGCGAGCAGACAGCGCGCGTTTCGAGGAGTGGGGATCGGGAGGGAGTTGTTCAAATAATCTGATTGGAATTTGGTAAAAGTTTTGAATTTAGTTCAGATAAATAGAATTGAAGAAGGTCGGACCTTTTAAAACTAGCTTTCTCGCCTTTTGCAAGAAAGCTGGAGGGCTGCGCTGCGAGCTGCACTTGCGCCCGGGCGGCGAGGAAAGCCGGGGGAATCTTCTTCCTTCTGCACTTAAAACGCGAAAAACCAATTAAAAATGGAAAATGGAAAGCAAGTGGAGTTTGCGGAAGTCTCACGGAGGCGGGAAGCCGGAAGATCGGGGGCGTTCAAGTCAGGGCTCGGAGAGGAGCTTCTTGCTTTCCTCCTCCAAGTCGACGGGCTGGAGGGCCTCGTTGGCGGCGCTTTGGATTTCCTTTCGCGTTTGCGTCACAAATAAACTGTAAAGTGCAGAAACTGCGAAGAAAGAAGTGGAAATGAAGGCGAGTTGGGCGCCGAGCGCATGCAGACTTGCAAAGTTGAACGCGAGCTGCTGCCGCAGCGGCGCCGCGCCCCAGAACAGCGGCTTGCCCAGCAGCAGCAGCAGCGCGAGCGCCAGCGGCAGCAGCAGCAAAGTGAACAGCAGCGCAGAAAGCGTGAAGAAGGGGGCCCCTGCTGCGCTGCCGGCCAGGGCCCCCACTGCAGCAAACAGGCAAGTCAGGCCCTCCGCCACAAACACAAGTCCCACTTTGTTCATTTTCACGAGAGGGTCTTCGGAGATTTTAATCCAAAAAACGCTGAAGTCCAGAACGGCCACTGCGAGGCAAAAGAGGCCCCAAATTGCTGCAGCTTGCTGCAGCGAAAGGCCCACTTTCCAGGTCCCCAGCGCCCCCATCTTCAGCGTGCCGCTGCTGCTGCTGCTGGGCTGCTGCTGCTGCTGCTGCTGCAGCTGCTGCGCGCTCTTGCCCTCGAAGCCAGAGCCCCCCGCGGAGAAGACAGCCCCCAGAGAGGCGTAAATGCGCGTCATGGGAATTGCAGAAAGAACAGAATAAAGAAGATCTGGATTTCCCCAGAGGACAAGTTCTCCGAGAGTGGCGTTTGAAGACAGCAGCAACACCCCGAAGGCCGTCCAGAGGTGCAGCAGCAGCAGCAGACTCAGAAAGCTGCTGCCCAGGTTCAGCCACGCCAGCAGGTACGCGGCCCTCGCGGACTTGGTGCAAATCGCCAAGTCCGTCAAAACACTGGCCAGCAAAAAGCTGACGGCCAGCGCCAGAAAGCCCCCGCGAAGTGCTGCAGCAACGAAGCCGCTGCGGCTCCAGTAGGCCTCCACTGCTGCTTCTGTGAAGCTGCGTTTCCAGGGGAAGACCTTGAGAAACAGCAGCAAGTTCCACGCGCCCGCTGCTGCCAGCAGGAACGAGTGCGTCCACGCCGCCGCCGCCAGCGAGAGACAGAACTTCCAGGGCTCTTTGCGCCAAAACATTTCCCGAAACTTCTTCAAAAAGCCTTTTGCTTCGGACTTCCGTCTTCAAACTCCCCGGAAACGCCGCGCGGCACCCGCACCGCCGCAACGCCGCCGCTCGTTCAAGTCGCCTGCGGAAAGCCAGCCAGACACCCCTCTTCGCGCCCGATCACTCCGAAAAAGGAACTCCCGGAAACTTCTTTTGCAATATTTCACTCGAAAATGCATAAATGAAACGCCAAGCAGCGCCGCGAGCCCTCAACGGAAGCTCCCGCGAGTCGGCCGCGGTGACCAGCGGTCGCGCCTGCGAGCCGCGTCCGCCGTGGCTTTCTCTGCCATTTCGGAATTCCAAAAACAAAATCCTCAGGCTCTTTTCCCAAAATGAATCCGCAAATCATGCCTTAATTTATTTTACTCTTCTCTGCAACCAAAATAACGCAAGTGAAACCCCTAATTCCAGGTCTCCTGCATCGAGGCGCTGCTGCAGTCGGCGGTGCTGCGCGTACACCCCAACAACACCCCGAGGAAACCTCGGGCTCCACCTCGAATTTCACTAATTCAAATTTCAAAAAGTACTTTTTTTTAATATTTTTTCCCGTTTTAGATCTTTACGCGCCGAGTGAACGCGACGAGCTCTCTCTCGCGCGCTGTCTTAGACAGGAATGCAACATCGAAGCGGACTCAGGCTTCCAGCTGCACTCCCCCGCAGCTCGAGAAGCTGCAGCAAACGCACTACGCCTTCACGCATTTATATTATTTTTATCTGAATATTTTTATTTTAAGAGACATAATTGCTGCTGCAGCACGCGAGGAAACAGCGAGGCTTCCGCAGCCACGCACAGCCACTCAGTGCAATAACATGAATAAAAGCAAGAATGCGGCTGTCACCTCTTCTGCAGCAAACACAACAGGTGACCACTGGTCACGAGCCAGTGGCCTGCCTGGGCAGCAGCTGCCCACTATACATATATAGATATATATATATCTGTATATATATAATATATATTATGAAAAAAGATCTATTTATATTCTATGCTACCTAAGTAGCAAATAGCAAATGACTAAAGAGGAGAAGTCCACAGTAATGAGTGCAGGCAATTCCTATTAGTTGTTAGCAGCAGCAGTTGGAAATGAACTGAAGACTCTTTTGAATAAATTGTATTTAAATGGAATAATTATTTTAATTCAATTCAGTTCAGGTGAAGCAGACAAAAACTTTCCCTGTTCTCGACGGACTCAAATGTGCAGAACAAATCGCAAAAGGAAAGCAAATCAAGAGAAACGGAAGCAACGCCTGTTTGCGCTGCAGCAGCAGCAGCAGCAGCTGCTGCTGCTGCTG